AATAAAAGAAGTAAGTATTAGCTGGGATGTAGCTCAGTGCTAAAGCATGTGCAAGGCCCTGGGTAAAATCTCAAAAAACAGTAACTACACACACACACACACACACATAAACATACATATATACATACACACACCCCTACTACACAACCCATTTGTTCTACTTCCAGCTATTTAACAAACAAAAATAAATGCATTATATGTCCTCACAAAAACTGCACACGAATGTTCATGGCAACTGCATTTGTAAGAGCCCTCAACTAGAAACAACTCAATGCCCATGAATAGGTAAAGAGACAAGCAAATTATGGTATACCCACATAATGAATGCTACTCAGTAATAAAAGGTATTAAACTATTGATACACTCCACAACATGAATGAATCCCAAAAATGTATTCTAAGTAAGACTTGAATGTGAAAGCAGCCAAAGAAACAAAAGCACACAGGGACCATGAGTATAGCTCAGCGGTACAGTGCTTGCCTAGCACGCGCAAGGTCCTGGGTTCAATTCCCAACATATACCAAAAACAAAACCTGGATGATTCCATTTATATAAAATTCAAAAAAATGTGAACTAATTTACAGTGATGAATAGGAGGTCAGTGGCTGACTAGGTGGTGGTGAGAAATGAGAGGGCACACTGACATTAATGGGTGATGGATAAACTTATGATCCTGACTGTGGTGATGACTTCATGAATGTATACACAGCTAAACTTATTAAAATGCACAATTTAAATAGTATAGTCAACTATATTTCAATAAAATCTCTACAAAATTTAAACACAAATACTGAATTCATAAGCATACAGTTATTTTGTAATTTTGAAAATTAGACTGGCATTGTCCCTTTCTTATCAGCTACACTGGATGTCAAAAGGTCTTCAAAAATACTACATGAAAATAAAGTCCGACTAGAATTCTATAAAACCATCCAAATCATTGATCAAGTGTGAAGGCAGAGAAAAAAGAGGTTTAAAGTTGTAAGAAGAGTTTACTTTCCACTCACCCTTTAAAAAATATTTGAGAATATACTCAGCAAAACCTGAAAAATGTTTTTAAAACTGAGATGATGCACAATACACAGCTGTATAAACTTAAAAATATAAAAATGGCAACTGCACATCATGAAGGAGAATCAATTTGCAGTTAGCTCTAAAATAGTCTCCTTTGGGTAGGTAAGTAAAAGTTTTGACCCCAGGTCCAGAAAAGACATAAAATTCAACACATAACACACTCTAAGACTCTTAAATGAACAATTCATAAGTGCCACATGTATGCTATGTGCTCCTCCTGATATTAATTGAAAGGGGAAAAAAAATCCGAAACATGTCTCCTCAGTCAAGTAATCCAGAACAGAGGGGGCAGGTATGTTGACTAAGATCAAATTAATGGGCTTATGTAACTAAATGTCAGAAAATACCCACCATGGGGTTGGAGGAACCTACCAGAAAAAGAGACACTGATCAAGGTTGGCACACTAATTAATTAGCATGGTCAGGGAAAGCTTTTCTGATAGGTAATTGTTAAAAGAGTGCTGAACGAAATGAAGTAAGCTTCACAGAAGTGTGGAGGAAGAGTTCTAGGTTTAAAGCATAAAATACATAGGGCAGAGGTATACTTGGCATATGTAAGAACAGCAAAAGTAGAAAGTACCAAATAATGCAGGGCCTTTCAATGGTAGCCTCTGGTACATGTCCATGATCCCAGTAACTCAATGCTGAAGAGAATCCTATGTTCAAGGACACCCTGGGCAATTTAGCAAGACCTTGTCTCAATATAAAATTAAAAAGGGCTAGGGGACAGGCATGTGGCACACACCTGTAATTCCAGTGAGTCAGGATGCTCAGACAAGAGGAACACAAGTTCAAGGCCAGCCTCAGCAACTTAGTGAGGCCCTAAACAACTCAGTGAGATCCTATCTCAAAATAAATAAATAAAAACGGCTGGAGGATACACCTCAGTAGTAAAGCACTCCTCGGTTAAACCCCTGTATCTAAAGCAGAAAAAAAGAGGGCTGGATCTGGGAGTGTAGCTCAGTGGTAGAGTGCTTGCCTAGCATGATTGAGGCACTGGGTTCAATCCCTAGTATTCAAGAAAAAAAAAGTTATCTTTATGAACAACAAAACAAAAGGACTTTATATATGTGGTTCAAAGTTAGAGTGAATACTGGAGAGACTGAAAACAACAATAATTCTGAGAAGCCCTAATAATTCTCAGAAAGCATAAGTTGTCAGGAATTGCCACATAGGAACCAAGTCCCCCCCAGCTTTGAGCAATGAGAATGTGGAGATGTCCAGCCATGGGCTGTGTGTGTGTCAACTATGAGCATTGAGCACACAAAGTGGACTGAACCAACACTGCCCCTCTGATTGGGAGGGGGACATATGGGTCTTTTTGCTAACTAACCATGACTAGATTTGTATGTGTAATTTAGCATTTGCGTATTGAAGATATTTTAGGAAAATCAGAGTGGAATAAAGTATAAAATAAGGTGATAGTGCGAGTAGTTTAGGCAAAAGAAGAGGATAACCTAGGACTGGGTACAGTTCAATGGCAGAGAACTTGCCCAACATGCTGGGTTTAATCACCAACACCTTGAAGGAAGAGAAAAAAGAGAGAAAGAAGAGCCTAAATTGAATAGTAGACAAAAAGAATGGGATGGATTCCAGATAAATTCTCAAAGTAGAATTTATTCATGGGTAGACTGAATGTGAAAGCTGAGGAAAGAGAGATCAAGGATAACTAGAAGTTTTTTATCTTAAGCATCCAAATGGATGGCAGTTCTATTTACTGAAATACGGAAAGTTGCAAATTCAAGGAAGAAAAAATTAAGTATTCGTTTGACAACTCAAATTCTATGATAAATCTTAGCCTAACCAAAAGTAGGAAAACAAAATACCATAAGCTTCTTTATTCATTACAGTATATAGTATAACTTAAGTACACTTGCCAAGGAGAATCTAATCAAACTGCTAGAAGTGACTTAATAACATCACAAGAAAACAAACAAATCTAGCGCGTGAAACACTCCCATAGGAAAATTGCACTGTTTCCTCTAACAAGTCTAGCAGGGTACAGACCTGAATAAAAATTTGAGAACTATAGTAGGGACTGAGGCATAGTAGCTCACTGGTAGAGCACTTACTTGATACGAGCAAAGCCCTGGATTCGGTCCCCAGTACAACAAAAATAAAAATTAAAAAACTTGGGCTGGGGATGTGGCTCAAGCGGTAGCGCGCTTGCCTGGCATGTGTGCGGCCCGGGTTTGATCCTCAGCACCACATACAAAGATGTTGTGTCTGCCGAAAACTAAAAAAAAATAAATATTAAAATTCTCTCTCTCTTTAAAAAAAAAATTAAAAAACTTAATAAGAAGCACAGTGATCAAGATACGGAGCTGATCTAGATCATCTCTGAACAAAATAACTATAAAAAGATACTGTTATAATGAGGGAAATTTCATTATAGTCGATGTATTACATGACACTAAAAATATACTGTTAAATCTTATTAAAATGCAAAATGGTGCTGGGCATGGTGGTGCATGCTTATAATCCCAGGGGCTTAGAAGGCTGAGGCAGGGGGATGCGAGTTCAAAGCCAGTCTCAGTAAAAGCAAGGCACTAAGCAACTCAGTGAGACCCTGCCTCTAAATAAAATACAAAATAGGGCTGGGGGTGTGATCAGTGGCTGAGTGCCCCTGAGTTCAATCCCCAGTAGCACTCCCCCCAACCCCACCACACCATAAAAAGCATAATGACAGTTTGGTCATATAAGAAAATGTACATTAGGGCTGGGGATACAGCTCAGTTGGTAGAAAAAAAGAGAAAAGAAAAAAAAAAAAAAGAAAATGTCCATTGCTTTAAAATACTTAAGGCAAGAGTGAAAGAACTAAGGAAAATGAAACAGAAGTAAACATTAACAATCTTTTTGTAAATTTAAATATTTATTTTTTAGTTGTAGTTGGACACATTACCTTTATGTCATTTATTTATTTTTATGTGGTGCTGAGGATCGAACCCAGGATCTCACACGTGCAAGGCGAGAACTCTACCGCTGAGCCACAACCCCAGCCCCTCGTTAACAATCTTAATAACTGCTAAATCCAGGCAATGAGTGTAAGAAAAGTATGTTTAAAACTTTTAAAAAGAAAATGGCTCTGTGTTTTGGACCTGTTAAATCTGAATGCCTATGAGACACGCAACTGAAAAAGTTAAAGTGGAGTTGGACCCGCTATTCCAGGAGCCACGGAACTAGAGACAAAAAGGTGGAAGGTCCCACCAGAGTCTCTGGCCACCTAACATCTAAATGTCAAGAGCTGGAAGAGTCGTCAGCTAAAAAGACAGAAGACAGGACAGGAAAAAAAAAAAAGAAAAAATAATGAGAAATAACAGAAAAAGTATTTTTAAGAAAGGTTGGGTTCAACTGATGGTTAAAGTTTCTAGAAAATGATCACAGTTGTGGAAATACAAAAAGCACAAGTAACTACAAAAGCAGTTTCAGCAGAGTGAAGGAGGAAGGCTTTGAATATTTGAAAACTCATTTTAAAAAAACCTTACATGTACTTTTCTAAATTCAAATACACTTTTTATCTTTTAATATAAAAGCACAGTAGTACATGCCTGTAATCCTAGCATCTCAGGAGGCTGAGACAGGGGAATCACAAATTCAAGACAGCGCCTCAGCAACTTAGCAAGACCCTGTCTCAAAACAAAGGGGCTAAAGATGTAGCTCAGTGGTAGAGTGCCCATAGGTTCAATCTCCAGTACCAAAAAATAAACATAAATTTAAAAATCTAGACTATTTATTTAGTGATCCTAGGGATGGAACCCATGGCCTTGCACATGCTGGGAAGGTACTCTACCACTGAGCTACACCTCCAACCCTTATTCTCTCATTTTATTAAAGTTAGTTACAAACCCTCCTAGGATGATTGGGGCCTATTATCAAATATTAATTTAATACACATACTTCATAATTGAAAATTAACTATTACTTACACAGCCATCATGCACATTTAGAGTTGCTTCAAGTTTCAATCTTTGGATAAATTCTCTTCTTCCTGTTTAAAAAGAAAGAACTAAATAAATCATAGAATCTACTAGTGACAAAAAATATCACAAAGAAATTAAAAGCCTAAAATCTGGCATAATAAGGTAGACTCAAGCTCAAATTTCAGCTCTGCCATTCATAAGCTGAGTGACACTGGGCAAATTAAAATTAACCTCCTGAGCCCTGGCTCACGCATTAGCAGACCTACACCTCATGTGTACAGGACTAAATGAATCAAGGAATGAAAGGACTTTGCACAGTATCTGGGCCACGTAAACATTCAAATATATATTCATTGATCAATTCATTCAACAGATATTTATGTGGTGCTCCTTGTTCCAGCTAATTTCAAGAGCTTGTTACAGTGGTAACAAAACAGAAAAGATCGACTCCTCTCATAAAAGGATAAAGACAATGAACAATATGTCAAGTTAGTGAGAGCATTATGTAGAAAGAATAAAGCAGGAAGGAGGATAAGTGAGGGTTGTGGATAGGGATAAAGTTTTTAATTTTAAATAGGGTGACAAACAGTGGTAATAAGATGCCACCAATTTTTAAGCAAATCTCAATTTTAGAAATCTTAAAAATATATCAAATTTTAGTGATGAAATGTGACACCAAAAAAAATAAAATTAGCCCAAGGTCCAGCAACAGCAGAATAGCTAAAATATTGCACAAATAAAGTTCCCTCTTTGAGCTGGGCATGCAGCTCCCAGTAGCTCGGGAAGCTGAGGCAGAAGGACCGTGGGTTCAAAGCCAGTCTCAGCAACAGCAAGGTGCTAAGCAACTTGTCTTTAAATAAAATACAAAATAGGGCTGGGGATGTGCCCCAGTGGTTGAATGCCCCCAAGTTCAATACCTGGTACCCACCCCCCAAAAATTTCCCCCTTTAAACTTTTAGTCAAAGTTCAGTTTGTCCCTCCAAGAACTTTACCAAAAATGGACTAAAAAGCATGTTTATTCAGAAACCGTAGTGAAAGAGAGCTGAATTTATGACAAAAGGTGACAATGAAATAAGTACAATCAATCAGGCTTGATGAGCTCTCCAATAAAATTAAATCTGACTATATTCTCCATATACTGTTATATAGGACAAATTATTGTGTTTTCTTTTCACTCAAGGTAAAGATCAAGATCCTCCTTGAAGCCAATTTGTTTTATTTCCCTAATTATAACTGTTAAGATGGCTAGGTAAAGGGTAAACATACAGGTTAAAATGTAAGTTATGGGGATGTTTTGTGGAGGATGGTCCATGGTACCTAGATTTTAAAAATAAAACAACCTAGAGAAACTCAGTAAAGTGTTTTCATGAACTAGGTTGTTCTTCATATAATTAACTTTTAAAATCTGATTTTGTTTTAAAAAGATGCTACCTGTGGCAAACAGGTAATTTTCTTTTTAAAAACTCCTCTCCTTTTGGCTAAAGACAGTCTTGATAAACCTGCTAAATTATAAATTAGACTTAAGAAACAAAGTATTCAAATTAACAATAGGACAGCAATTAGAACTCATTAAAATGCTAAAATACTAGAAACATATTTTTTCCCCAATTTTAAAAATCTGGTTTCAAACCCAGCTCTAGCCATTTTGGTCTAGAGAAAATGGTAGTAGGACATAAGAGAACAGAAGATAAACTGAGCTGTTCTGGCAAAAACTCTCACCTGTGAAATTTGCACCTAAATTCAAGCACTGAGACATGATACAGTTAGGTCCTAAATGACATTTTTACATGTGACTGTGGAGATAAAACTGACTGTGCTGTCCAGATATGGGCTTCTACAAGATAAAAACCACCATAGAGTAAGAAAGAACTAACTTATAAAAATTGAGCTCTCTAAAATTAAACTCATGTCTGAATGTCATTAAAAACTGTGAAGGTTCTGCCCTATGTGCAAGATCACCAGCTAGCCTGATACTATTTCTTGCATAGTAGCAGAAGACTCAAAAGACTTGCTACCTACAGCATGCAAGCAGTGTGAGCTTCAGGTTCACACTGGCTCCCGACCTCCCAAGCCCCAGAGGGCACCTCGGAGAGGTGCGGGTGGATGGCACGCAGTGAGTCTGGATCACCAATGAAGAGCCTGAGCTGGGGGACCCAACCTCTTATCCAGCATGTTGGCCTCAACTTTATCCAGAAGTGCAGCACTGTTTGTGTTAAACTAGACAGTAAACTCGCCCTCTGTTCCAGGAGACAATGTATCTTCCAAGGCTGTTCTCTATATAAACATCATTGAAAAGACAGTCCAGAAAAAAGCAGTTGGGGGGGGGGGGGGTCTCTGCTCACAAGATGTGCAGAATGAAAAGAGGCCATGGAGAATCCTCTCCCAACAACCCCATGTTTGTTATGGATGAACTTACTACTATGCCTTCCTATTCAACTCTTTCTGTACCCCAAGATCCCTTTTACAATTCTACCTCCACTTTGATATTCTACTCTAATGACTGATAATAAGCTCCATCAGAGGAGCGCTCATTTAGTCAAGTCTCCTCAGTGTTAGAACAGTGCCTAGCACAAAGCATTCAGTATACATTTGCTGAATTAGTGAATAAATAATTAGGATATTATCCCATCCTGTTTTCCCAATAATACTTAGTGAACATCTTTCAATGACACTTAAGAGCTAATTATTGCTCATTTTGGTAGTTGTATAACTTATTAAACAACTTCCTGATTTGTGTGTCCACATATATACCTCCACCTCCACGCTACAATGTTTGCGACAAGAACATAGGTTTAATAAATATCTATCTTGGGACATACAACATTTATGCTGGGTGAAACTCTTTATCCCTCAAAGCCTTAGTTTTTTACATTTGTAAAAGTAAGAATAATACTAAAAATATCACAGGTTTGTTATAAGAAGATTATAACATTATGATTAGCATATGCACAACTTCTAAACATGCCTGAAATACTGTAGACATTTAAAATCAGTTCTCTATATGTGTGTGGGTTGTTCTAATTTAAGATTGTCTGAAAAGACAATTTTTTTTAAATATATAACTTCAGTAAAGGAGTTAACTGACTGAGGAAAAACAATTATGCCAATGTTACTGAAAAGAAATGGAAGAGCATTTTAACAAAGTTATATTCCATTTTCATTTGACAGTATTGTCCTCTGAGCTTTCTAACATGAACTTCTCACATACCACACATACTGCCATTCCTAGCCCACTATCAGGCCTTCCTTTCCTATTCATGGGCCCCAACTTGGTTCATTCAGGCCACTATAACAAAATGTCTTAGTCCGGGTAGCTTATGAAGAAGAGATTCTTATTTCCCATAGTAACAGAGGCTGGAAGTTCAAGATCAAGGTACTGGCAAATCTGGTGTCTGGTAAGAGCCAGTTCCCTATAGATAGCACCTTTTCACTGTTCCCTCAGATGGTAGAAGCGGCAAGAAGCTCATCAAGACCTCTTTTATAAAGGCACTAATTCATTCATGAGGGCTCTGCCATCATGACCCAATCACTCCCAAAGGCCCCACCTCTTAACACCATTACCTTAGGGGCTAGGATTTCAACACAGAAACTTTGGAGGGGCACACACATTTAGACCCACAGCAGTCCCATTGGCCGTTAGTTTGATTTCAGAAATCACAAGTGCTGGGTAAATCCCCAGACACATTTTCATGACCCCACGGTAACATGTGTCATGGCTAATGACTAAGCCTTTAGATACAACCTTTTCTGGTTGCCGTGGCTCAAGGTAACAAGGAGAAATGCACACCAAAGACAACCACCTTCTCCAAGGAGCAGTGGGATATAGAACTGTTTTCTTCTTGGCACAAGGAGGAGAACGCCATGTAGCAAGTAAGAAGAAATCAGGGAAAATTTAAATGGACACGGAATACCCACTGTGGGCTACAAGGACAGCTCAGAATCTACAGGAACCCTAGACACAGGCAGTCTATACTCAGTGGCCAGCTCTTCTCCATGAGCTTCCATCAAGCTCTCATAGGACTATGAAAACTGGGCAGGACACACAGAAGATCCTTGTCTGAAAGAGTATAGAACTCCATTCATTTTCTAGGCTGTTCCCTCATGGGAAGCAAATGCCTCGAGCCCTGGCAGACAGGACCTCAGCAAACTTCCCTACTCAACACCCACTTAGGCAAAGGCAAAATGTCAGGGGACAAACTGCCTATCCTTAAGGGAGGGGCAGAATTGACCCACCCAGTCCTCCCATACACCTTACATTGAACAACAAGCAAAAAGAGTAAGTGTGGTAGCTCCAAACTGTCTCAACACAGCCAGACTAAACTGTTCCCCAGAACTCCTTCCCTCTATGTTTCTGCTTAGAATGAGTCACAGTCATTTTACAGTGGGCTTAGAGGGCGGAAATAAAACAGAAGCCATATTATTTTTAATACCTAGAAGTCTGGAGCAGATGATGCTCATGTATCTGACAAACCTTAATACCTACCTACTACCTCATCTTGCTGGAATAGACAGCAACTAGGCCTTCAACTGCCCCACTTTCCCTTGTATCCTCCTTTAGTTTCTTCAAACACTAGACCAACTGTTATATTTAGGTCCATGACAAAGTGCGTCAGCTGTTCCTACAGAACACCCGTATCAATTAGATTAGAGACACTGTGAATTGACACAGTGTTATGTCTTCTTGGGATCCTGCTTGGGCTCTTTTGAAATCACATATCTTGTCTTTGTTCTCCCTCACTTTACAATGCCTTCCCTTCCCAACTGCCTGTCCTGCAGATGTCAAGCCCCAGAATCAGACATGAAGAGAATAACTTATAAAATTGTTTTGGTGAGTAATTAAATAAGGTCAAATCCCTATAAAACATCTTTATGCATATGTATGCACGTTCTGCTTCTCTGATTGAACCCATGCATGACAAACACTCAGCAACTCAGCAGGAGGGAAATTTCCTCAATATAATATGAGCACCCCACCCGCCTACCCCCACCCCTGCCAAAAAAAAAGACCCTATAGCTCACTTATTTAATGATGAAACAGTGACTGCTTTCTACCTAAAATAAAAAATAA